TCCCGTGTCACCTGCAGACAGGTCTCGTCATGCTGAGTTTCACGCATATGCCTGGAACTCAACTTCTATATTAAGATAACTCAATTCGACAAACAGCAGGCTCCCCCTAGCTGCTAATAACATTTGCCCGCTTCTGACATGGGCTGCATAACCCCTGCTAACACACTGACTAACCAGACATTGAAAAGGCATCTGACTCATCATTGCTTCTGAGCTGCTTGTAACTGGTTTTGAAGAGTGCGTAATGCACCCTGACAAGTGTTTTCATAGCAGTGTTGAATATCCCCAGTTGGAAGAGACCCACAAGGACCATCGAGTCCAACTCCTGGCTCCACACAGGGCCACCCAAGAATCAGACCATGTGTCTGAGAGCGTTGTCCAAACTCTTTTGAACTCCATCAGGCTCGATGCTGTGAACATTGCCCTGGGGAGCCTGTCCCAGTGCCCAACCACCTTCTGAGTGCAGAACCTTTCCCTAACCCCCAGCCTGACCCTCTCCTGTCCCAGCTCCATGCCGTCCCCTCGGGTCCTGTCGCTGTCCCCAGAGAGCAGAGCTCAGCGCCTGCCCCTCCGCTCTCCTCGTGAGGGAGCTGCAGGCCGCCATGAGGCCTCCCCTCAGCCTGCTCTGCTCGGGGCTGAGCAAACCAAGAGACCTCAGCCCTTCCTCATTCATCTTGTCCTCCAGACCCTTTATGATCTTCATTGCCCTCCTTTGGACACTCTCTAATAGTTGTATGGCCTTCTTATACTGTGGCACTCCAAACCGCACACAGTGCTTGAGGTGAGGCTGCCCAGCGCAGAGCAGAGCGGGACGATCCATCCCTCATCCAGCTGGCAGTGCTGGGCCCGATGCACCCCAGGGTAGGGTTGGCCCTTCTGGCTGCCAGGGCTGAGTGTTTTAGCACCCAGAAAACAGAAAGGCAGAGAGGAAAATACAATGGTAATGTCGTAACTTAACACAGGAGGAGAAGTGTCATGCATAGGCAAGCAGTGGTTTCCATACAGCACTGACAATCACTGGATGAGACATTTGACAGATGACCCTTACCATCACTGTACACCAAAAACACTTCACGGTGGTGCCCGCAAGTAACTCCAAGAAGCAAAATTTTACAAATGAACCAGAAACCAGCTGAAGGCACCCAGGACTCCATCTGCTGTTACACTGAACAGTAACCACAGCTCATTTAGACACACCAAAAATGCGCTGAACTACCAATGTACCTGCTGCTAGCAGTGCAGCTTAAACTTAGAGATAAATGTTTCCCGAATGCATGCATGCCATCACTGTACTTGTGCTACGGTGTACTGTGTACAGCAATCAAAAGGTGGGTTTTGACTGCTATGACAACTAGCATAGAGTTGTTATCACTGAAAAGAGGAATATTCACATTGTGCCCTCCTGAATGTATATCTGGACTGTTGATGTAGGTGAAAACTCAATAGTTTTACAAAGTTACCCAGTGGAGCAATGTTGTGTTACTTTTCATGTGCAGCCTACAAGGCAAAGAATCCACGCTCCTTTGCCTCAGAACAAGCTTGAAGCTGGCCAGTGCCCAGTTGCTGAAAGAAGCATAGATACTCTTTGGACAAGAACTCTGCGAGCTGAGCTTACATTTGATGCAGTCATGGTGGCTTCAGCTGATGAGTGAGAGGTTCTACTCACCCACAATGTATGTGTAAAATTTGGAAAAACTCTTTAGTTGTGGCTAGAATGGAGCCAATCTAATGGAAATGAAAGCTCAGTCAGAACTGAAGCCCATAATATGAGTACAATGTACTTAAATGTGATATAGCAGACCAATAAATTCCATCTGCATTTTTTATGTTTATTTATTTTTTTAGAATACCATTTTAATAACTTGGTACTCATCTGGGAAACATCCTTTTTTACCATAGCTTCATGTATAGACAAGCGGTTAGAGGGGAAGGAGGCAGACGGTCAGTGTTGTATGAACAAGAATCTATGTACACGCTGAACAGAAAAGTAGAGAACACCTCTGTGCAATCACTACTGCATTTAAAAGCAATTTCATCTTCTGATTTTGCAATGCCAAAGCATTATTTTTGTCAGGCAATCTCCACACAACTACGTACAGTTTTAGCTCTCCAACACAAACAGCATGCTACTTGGACACAGATGTCTCTGCCACAATTGTATGGGATGATGATAGCGTTTACATGCTTTCAGGCTCTGCTGACTCAGAGGCTGACGGGGCTTGCACTCCTAGCAGTAATCCCCCATTTGGCCTCTGTCCTGATAGGTTGGATTCAGGTCAAGGTGACAGAAACTAAGCATGGATTAAACTACAGGTATGAACAGCAGCATATGTGCATAACGGCAATATCCTTCTCTAAAGATATGCCACTGGGTGACAGAAGATGAGGATTTATCTAATCTAGCAATTATTTTCAGCTTGCTCAAGTAAACCAGAAAGGAAGTCTAAACAAGCCTATAAACTCATCAAGATATTTTCTGACCATACCTAAATATTATCTATCTTTCTCCAAAGAGTGTATCTGCAAACCACTTCTAAATATTTTCCGGAGGTTCGCCACTGATTTAACAGCTCTTTGTGTGTTGTTTTCTTTGTGTGAGGATGAACCTTGCTGCTGTGTGAAATGCCGATCTACCCAGAACTAATCTGAGATGACATGCAAAGAAACACAAATAACCTCTAACCGTATCAACCAAGTACCTTGACGGTCTCTAAATGAAATCTGTACTTTTACTTGAGCCCCACAGTGCATTTAAATTGTGTATGTTAAAGAGAATTTTTTATTTTTTATTTTTTTGTAAAATAAGCTATTGACATCTGTAGCTGCATACATTTCTATTCCTATGAAAAACCTTAGTGTTGGGTGATGTTGCCAAGAGGTGAACTTGCTACTGCCTGAATTCAATATGTTATGAGGGTGTTTATTATTCCTGCTTCCTTTAGGCACTGACTTCATTAGCAGAGTCGGACTGACACAAAGAGAAAAGGAACAAACACACACCAATGTGTCCCCCTTTTTCCCCAACAGTTTGTTTTCCTTTCATATTTACTTATTGCTCTTTACATTTCTCATTTGCCTTGTACTATATAATTTTCATTTTCTAGCTGTTTCTCCCTCTTGTTCTCTAGGCTCATCTCTTGTCTGACCCTTTTGCCTCTCTGCTGTGTTCCCGAGTCCCCTGCCTGCCAGTTCTTCTTCCCCCAGCCATCTCCTCCTTGTGCCCTTGGTCCCTTGCTTTCACTCCTCTTCCCCTGCACTCTGCAGGATTCCCAGGCCAGGCCCATCTGAGTCCCTACAGCAGCATTATAGTAAAAGCAATCACAGGTAGGAGCAGGTTTTCCGTACTGCTTCTTGCACAGCTGTGAGATGTCACTGGGGAGACGGTCACTGTAAGGCTGTTGAGCAGCTTTGCTGGCAACAGACACCTAACCCTGTCTGCTGATTTTAGTTACCTAGATAATTTAATATTTTAAAATTTATATTTTATTTGTTTTTCACAGGGGGACGGGTGCCGTTTCCCTGTGCCTGGGGGCACGGCCCCGTTGTGCGGCGGGGCCGGGCCGGGCCGGGCGGGCTCCTCCTCTCCTCCCTCCCCTCCCCTCCGCTCCCCTCCGCTCCCCTCCCGCCTCCACGCACGCGCGCGGCCGTTCCCCGGGCGACACCGCCCGTCCCGCCCCGCGCGCTGCTCCCAGGCCGCCCCGCGCCCCTCGGGCCGGCGGCGCCATTTTTAAACGGCTCCCGGCCGGGGGCCGCTGGGTGTAGGGGGAGCCCCGCGAGGGCGGCGGGGAAGGTAACGGAAACAGTAACGGTAACGCAACGGCCACGCAACGGCTGCGGGCTCCGCGCTCCGCGCTCCGCTTTCTCACACGGGCTTTGCCTGCATGGGCACAGCAGGGTGGGTGCTGCCGCGTTTGCCTGCAGGGGCCGCGTAGGGCACGCAGGCTGAGGTGAGGAGTGAGCCCTGCCTGGACGCCGCCGGTTTGCAGTCAGTGTGCAGAGTCCTGTCAGCAGCAGGGGAAGTGTTGTGGGCTGTGCAGATGTGTGCGGCAGGCTGCGGGCTGTTGCATCTCTAACCCCAGCTGCAATGTTGAATGAGGTTTTAGTGAGAAGTTTCTTGTTTGTATCTGAAGGTCTCTTGTCACAGGAAAACAAACAAACAAACCCTACCTGGTGTATGCAGACAAATTGCTCTGGACTGCAGCTAAGAGACTTACCAAATATAACTCCTGTGACAAATTTTAGTTTGATCAGTGGCTTGTGCTAGCAGCTTGGCTTACTAGTGTATGCTTTTAAAGCAAAACCTTTAATCCTGGGTTAGCTTATAACCCTGTTTGTTTTCTTTATCTAACAAAAATAACCCTATTTCTAGTATAAGACAGAAATGGCAAGAGTAACCCCATGTGCTATGCATGAAGGTGGCACTGCGAAATCCCGTGTCACAGGGTGGGTTGGGTTGGGAGGGACCCTGAAGGATCACCCAGCTCCAACCCCCTGCCAGGGGCAGGGGCACCCCCCTCCCCCAGACCAGGTATACTCTGACATGCCTGGCAGTTGGCACGTGTACTTTAAACAGCGTAGTGAGAGAAGTGACAGTTGAAATGAGACTGATGTCTTTCGTAAGTTATAAATCATAGAGGTGTTCTCCTAATTTCTGCACTTAGGCATGCAGAAGCATTAAGTGTTTATTTTCACTGGATTCTCAACAGTGATGTCTGAGCAGTTACCCAGATCATAGAGATTCCTATAATAAAGGTTTTCACCTTTTGCTGATTTTTTTCCCCAGTTTATTTTGTTTTTTATTATTATTATTTATTTTATTTCTTATTTCTTAAATGTGGTTACTTTGGCTATTGCAAAATGTAAAATGTAAACTGTTAGAGCAGTATACAATCTAACTTCTCAAATGATAGATAACTTTGCTTTTTTTTTTTTTATTTGCTCAGTGTTCATGGGAAGTGTGACCTCGGGTGTGTTGCATAGTCATTTAAGGTAGGGCTAATTTAACCTAACTTTGTTGAAAAGCCGAGTGTCTAGCCCAAGGCTGTGACCGCATGAAGGTCTGAACTCCTGATGTGACAGTTCTCTGCTCCTGAAAGGAGAGAGGCGTGCTCCTCCTTCCGCCACCTTATTTGTCTCCTTGTTTCTTTGTGCAAGCCAGTACCAGCTGCCTACTTTCACTGATTCTGTGGCTTCTTGGGTTTTTCCTTATGCTGGAATGACTCACTGGCCTCACCAGAAAAAGAAACTATTGAGTGTTTTCTGCTCGTTTAACTATTGGCTTCTTGAGTTAAAGCAGTTCATAGAAGGGTCTGATGAATGGCAGTTCCAGGAATAAGGATGAAGGAGGGAGGAAGGCAACCTCTCATTCCTGGTGACAGGGAGCTGTCAAGTGGGTTACGGTTTCTTGTTAGCTCCTTATCTGCTCCGACTCCACAGACCCTTAAGCAGAGCAGTAGTGTCTGGAATCACTTGTGTGAGGCTCTGCTGCCTTTGAGTGTCTCACTTATTCTTCCAGACAAATAGCTTATTGTTCCACGAGATGTGGCAGCAGTCGTTGCAAAACTACATTCAGAGTATCATCTAATTTAACTGTTCAATGTTCAACCGTGGTAAATTTATGTGTTAGCATGGTCAGAGGACACAAAGAAGAGCCGTGAGTGAGTTGTCACCCAGGCTGGTGCGTGCTGGAGTCCTGGAGTTGGGCTATGCCAGGGAAGTGAGAAGGAGGCTGTGGTGGTCAGAAATTATGGTGACGTCTTCATGTTTTTCTCTAAATGCAAGTTTTCTCACAATTTTAAGTGCTTGTAGAAAACAAAATTTAAAATAATGTAGCTCAAAAATCTTGTGAAAGAAAAGTCCTTTCATGATGTGTAGATATAAAGGAGAGAGATGTGAAGTACGTATTTAAAAAGTGTTTCTTTGCGTATGAAAATAGCTCTTTGGAGGAGAAAGGCAGAACAAAGGTGACTCTTGGAAATGTAGTCGAGTTACTTCACTTGACTGGATATTCTACCAAAAATATTAACCAATATCAATATATAGATATATGTATATTATGTAATTTCAGGTATTAAGTGTGCAAAACCTGGGCTTCAGGACTTTGTACCAATACCTTTCCTTGTGTACCTGCACAAAATGATGTTAAGATTGCATAGTATGGATTCGGGGCAGTTGATACAAGTTTGCAGCTTTGTAAATTTACCAAGTTTTATGTTATGTTATAGGTGGAGAATTAATTTTAGATATGCTGGGGTTTCAGTTTCTTTCAAGCATGTTTTATGGTTCTCTACCTTTTTTGAACAGGTGTACAAGGGAAGGAGTTTTAACTAGTGTTCCTGTAAAGTATTACTTAAAAAAAAAAAAAAGTGTAGTCCTGCATAATCTTGAAGAATATTTTAGGTCTAATAATTGACTATGAGAAAGTGCCACTAGTACAGAAGAGATTCATGTTAGTAGGGTACTTACTCTATAGGGCCAAGACAATGGTGAGTGTTTGCAGCTCTGTGAGGACTTGTTTTGTTTTTGAGGGAAAAAAAAAAAAAGAAAGCTATTTTATTTAATTTTATTGTAAGAAAGTGTGTAGGCTAAATATCACAAGTTGCTGTCAATGATTTCAAGGAGGGAGGTCTTACAAAGTAATTGCATTTCTGGTACTGTAGATTCTATCACTGGGAATGTAAATCCTGAAGTTTGCCACTAGATGTCCCTGCAAGCCTAAATAGTTTTGCTTCCTTAACTACATATTGCTTAGGTTTTTGAATGTGTGAAACGGATTTGTAAGCCACATTTTTACCTCCTTCTGTCCTTTTTTCTTTTATGTGAGATCTTTAGGCAGATGCGCACACAACTGGATATGTTTTGCTTTATAATCTGTGGACTTTCTGATAGTAGCCAAAGCTGTGAGGAGAGGATGCATTTCCCACCTTCAGCAGCTTGGGGCTGAAATTACAAACAGTTGCATTTCCATTTTTTTCTTTTTTTTTTTTTTGTTGATCATAATGTTGCTTCAGAAGCATCTCCTTCTCCTTATCCTCTCAGCAAATTTGAGTAAAGCAGGATAAAAGAAATGGCTATTGCCACCTTGCCTGTGCTGGTATTGGGACACTTTCCTCTCACCTTTCCCCATCCTAGTAGTGGAGGAAGAAAATGGGCACTAAATGTGCCGTGCTTATTTATCTATATGGAAGATAATTTTCATCTCGCTTGTAGCTCAGGGTTTATAGAATTAAATAGTGAGTGCTTAAGGTAGGCCCATGAGAGATGTTAAGAGTGGAATACTAGAAAGCGTTACGTATTCAGCTGTGCTCGAGAAGGAGGCTAGCTAGTTGCAGTGATGCTGGAGATTTAACTTTTTTTTGCATACCACTGCAAATACAGAGTTTTTAGGCACCAGTCCAGTACTGCCGAAAGCCCAAAATGTCAGGGTAGCTGGTTTCAAAGCTTTATAACTTCCCTAAAATTCAGTTGCAGTCCTCCCTCCCCCAGATCCTTTAGAAGCACCAGCAATAACCAGTCTCAGGCAGTGCCTGGTTTCTAATATCGAGAAGAACCGATGGGGCGCATGTTATAATACTTCCTCATTTCTCAGCATCTGGCAATCTGCAGCTTTCTCACACCCATCCGAGATTGTCACATTTAGCAAAACTCTTGCTGGAAAGGTCACACGAAACCACCAGAAAAACTTCAAAAACTAGAAGTGACACGTATCACTGATACGTTTCAGAGGTGAGCTTTGGACAAGTCTGGAAGATACCAGCCTGTTAAGTCGTAACTCTTCCAGAAGTGGCCTGATAGGAGCTCACCAGTGAGCATCATCTCCTGTTTGGGGTGATGTGATGGTGTGTGGAACAGTGCATCATGTTAGGATAGTGCGACAGACTGTGATACAAACAGCTTTTACTACTTCGTATCTGATGTCTGTGACCCCTGCTTGAATCCTAGTTAACAGGGCATAATTAACATCATGGTTTGATTCTCAGTGTGCAGTGCAAGTAAAAATAACATTTTGTGTGGCCTGGTGGTTAAAGATGCTTGTTTTGTATTGGCTCAAATAATCTCCAGATTTAACTTTATTCTGTGTCTCTACGACAGCTAGACAGCTAGTACATCTCAGGGCAGGTAGAACGAGCAGAGAAGAGTGGCCCTTTCAGTAGGGGATTTCTAACGTGAGCTACAGCCAAGCTAGGATTCTTCTGTATTGAAAGCAAAAGTAGCACGTGAAGTCTTTGAAGTGTGAATGTACTTGATTGCTAACTACACGGGTTTGTATTTCTGTCAGGTGACCTGATCTCCTGGGATGTCAGCTGAAAAGGTGCACGGCGATGTAGATTTGTAATAAGTTCATTTTTTTTATTTTTTTGTCCTCTCAATACCCATCGTGAAGAGTCACCATAAAATGGATGCTTTGGGTAGTCTTCCTCCCATGGCTGGGAGTGGTGATGTGGCTAATTCACAAGAATTACAAAAACTTCTGATTGATGAAAAAATGCGATGTGAGCACCATAAAGCAAATTATCAAACTCTAAAGGCAGAACACATAAGGTACAGTATTTTAAACAGGTTTCTTCATTAGAGCTGTTAAAAGATGAAGCAAAATCTTAGGTAGAAGGGAGTTTGTGTGTGTTAGCTGTTTGTGTATTTAAGGACATATTTCAGTATTGTTCACTTCAGAAAAACACAATTCAAAATACCTTAAGATATTGTAGGTGAGGTTTCTGAAGTACATTATATGTTTGTAAATATGGGATAAGTTTTCAATATGTTACAGGATGAAGGTATTAACTTCTTAGTTTTAATTGATATTCTTATTTTTGCATCTGAAGATGAGGTTTCTGAGCTTAAATTTATTTTAGATTTACTCTCCAAATGAATATTTTAACTTACAGGTTACAGGAGGAATATACAAAATTACAAGATGAACTGAAGCGGTTGTTAGTTGAAAAGCAGACTGTACATGAAAAATTCCAGTTTCTCCTTGCTGAATATAGAGAGGAGTTGTTGGGTAAAACACAAGAGTTGGAAAGACTGAAGACGCAGGTGAGGCAATTTACTAGTAGAGTTTAATATGTATTTCAGTCCTGGAACAGGGCCATGTTTATGTTTCTGTAACAGGCATACATTTGTCTTGAATCTATTTCAGCTATCTTGAAACCGCCCCATCTGAGGAATGTTTCTTCCTTAGAGTGACTGACTATAGGATGAAATTGTTTTGTTTAATTAAATATTCTAAATTCTGCTAGGTACTACATTAATAGTAAGATCCTCAGTCTCTGTCCATGCATGTTCTGTTCCTGCTATGGGGAAAATCGTCTGCCCTGTTGGATAACTTAGATGCCTTTTAGCATAAGTGGTTACAGAAGTAGGTGTTTGTTTCTCTTCATGGTGGCAACTTTCTTCATCCTAAAAAGGAAACAAACAAAAAAAAACTACCAAAAACATTTAAGATCATTTGGATGACATTTTCTATAATTGCTTGTTTCCCTAAACTAATGCAGGACGTAGCTCTTAGGAAACAAACACAGCATCTAACAAAGGATCCCCAGACACTGATTGACATTTGTATTGCTTCTACCAGTGAATGCTGACATTTTAAATGTCAACATTATTATCTTCCCAGAATATTTTTAGATCATTAATATCACATTTCTTCTGTAGCTACCATTGAAAAATTCTTTAGAAAAACAGAAAATAAAACGGAATTCTTAAAGCCATGCTTGAAATACTTTATTCCTGGATATTTGGCCTGTCACAATGTAAATAAATGAATAAGACTGGTTATTTATGATACCTTTCTGTCTTAAGGTCCTAACTCCTCAGAAGTTAGAGCTGTTAAAAGCACAAATACAGCAGGAATTGGAATCTCCTATGACAGAACGTTATCGGAAACTAGAAAATGTAAGTATAGAGTATTTAGTAGTATTTTATTTCATTTAGAGTAGTGATGACCAGTTTGTAATTGTTTCTAAAAACCTTAGGAAATTAAAACTGAAGGGGGAGCAAAATAGGACTTCCCTTTGGCTGGCTGGTACTGTTTGCTACTGTTGCCTGAGGTAGTGGAGGTTGAAACCCTAGAAAAGGGAGAGGGAGGGATTCATGTCTACAAATGAAACTTTTGAAGTGACAGGAGCATTGCATGGATGTTTGAGAGAAATAAAACTGAAAACTTTGGACTGATTTATTTTTTGTCTCACTCAGGAAGTGGAAAAATACAGAACAGAATATAACAAACTTCGTTATGAACATACTTTTCTGAAGTCAGAATTTGAACATCAAAAGGAAGAACACGCACGTGTTTTAGAAGAGAAGAAAATAAAGTATGAGGCAGAGGTACATGGATTGTTATGTTAGTTTAAATTGTATCTGATGACAAAACCACTTGAGGGGTTATCAGTTTGACATCGTTTCATAATGTAATATTTGTTTCTGATCTTGTAATTCTCAAAACGCTTTAATGACTTAACCCTAAGGCTGTCTCTGTAGGTTTGTTTGGTGATGTGTTGCAATATCATTTGTGCTATTATAAGTTAGAGTAGACTTGCCTTCTGATAAGTAAAGCTACTGGCTGTCATTTAAATGCTTCTTTAAAATCATATTTTTGATAGAATTTGAGACATGAAATTAATAAGTTATGAGCAAGTGATAGAAACTTAAATTTTTAAATTGAGGAAGTCAGGCAAAAACACCAGGAGGCCTGCATGGTTGAACAAAGGAGCTTCTGGCCAAACTCAAGCAGAAAATGGGAGACCTGGTTACCCAGAGTATGGTGAAGGCTGAGGTACACGATGACTCTTTTGTCTCTGTTTTCACTGGCAAGAGCTCTAGGCACACAGCTTAAGTCCCAGAAGGCAAAGGAAGGAACTGGAAGAATGAAGAACCACTCACTGTAGGAGAAGCTCAGGTTTGGGACCATCTAAGGAACCTGAAGGTGCACAAGTCCATGGGACCTGATGAGATGAATCCCCAAGTCCTGAGGGAACTGGCGGATGAAGTTGCTAAGCCACTGTCCATCATATTTGAGAAGTTGTGGCAGTCTGAAGTTCCCACTGGCTGGGAGAGGGGAAACATAACCCCCATTTTTAAAAAGGGAAAAAGGAAGGAGGACCCAGGGAACAACAAGCCATTCAGTCTTACCTCTGTGCTTAGCAAGATCATGGAGCAGATCCTCCAGGAAACTATGTTAAGGCACATGGAAAAGAAGGAGGTGACTGGTGACAGCCAACACGGCTTCCCCAAGGGCAGATCATGCCTGACGGATTTGGTGGCCTTCTAAGATGGGGTTACAGCACTGGTGGATAGAGGAATAGCAACTGATGTCATCTACCTGGGCTTGCACCCTTCTACCTCACGCTCCTGAGACACCACCTGCGGTGCTGCATTCAGCTCTGGGCCCCCAGCACAAGGACGTGGAGCTGTTAGAATGAGTCCAGAGGAGGGCCACGAGGCTGATCAGAGGGCTGGAGCACCTCTCCTGTGGGGACAGGCTGAGGGAGTTGGGGTTGTTCAGCCTGGAGAAGAGAAGGCCCTGGGGAGACCTGACGGCGGCCTGCCAGTGTCTAAAGGGGGCCTGCAGGAAAGATGGGGAGGTGTCAGGGAGTGGAGTGATAGGACATGGAGTAACAGTTATAAACTAAAAGAGGGGAGATTTAGATTAGATCTAAGGAAGAAAGTCTTCCCATAGAGGGTAGTGAGGCCCTGGCACAGACTGCGCAGATAAGCTGTGGCTGCCCCATCCCTGGAGGTGCTCAAGGCCAGGCTGCATAGGGCTTTGGGTAGCCTGGGCTGGTGGGAGGTGTCCCTGATTATCTTTAAGGTCCTTTCCAACCCAAAGCATTCTATGATTATATCCATGGCAACTGATCATAAAAGAAGGAAAGAGAATATACTGTTGACAGGACAAGGATACAATTTGAAACTATGTGGGATCAGGACAGTGATTGTTGAAAGGATACTAAAAACTTTTTGGTATCTTTATTTCAGTTGTGTTAACTCTTGAATAAATAATCCATAACTTTTTTGTTTCAGAACTGAACTTTGAAAGGCGTAGCTAAATAAATTGCCAGTTTATGTGTTTTAAATATATGCAGCTGTGTAAATGAGTGTTGCATATGTGATTTGCATATTCATTTAAGTATTTGTCTGGGAGTATATCACAAGATGCTAGATTTGAATGTATTAGTCCCAACATGAGGTACAAATCAAGGGCAATCACTGCTTTCAAATCAGTCCAAATTCACAAATGTGGTGCATCAAAAACAGAACGCTTGTCCTTCACAGAGCTAACCCACCGTGCTGCTTTATAGCCTGCCTCTCTTGTGGGCTTGCTGGCTTTGTGCTAGTCCTGCTGCAAACCAGCATGCTTAGAGAACGTGGAATTACCTGGATGGAGCCCAGGGCACAATGTAATCTAGTTTCACTTATTTAGAATCCTTTTAACCTCCCCTGCCATTTAATGCAAGGGTACTACAGAAACATCCTAATTCCTAAATGCTGGCTTGAACATGTCATGCAGTAACTCTTTGATCTGTTCATAAAAGGGATTGTGTGGGTATATGCTGCAGAATTTGGCATTGTTCCATAGAAATCACTGATTAAATTCATAAAAACAGTGCAGAGTTGGGAAAGTGGTCTCCAAATATGGAGAGAACTCTTTTGCACCTTACTTTCTTACTCATTTGCCCCCAGTCTGCACAGAACATTCTGTCACTGTAACTTAGTTTGAAACTCTGGGATCTATATATTTATAGTGTTTGCTAGTTAGATTCTCAAGATTAGTTCATACCTATCACACTGCCTCGGGAACTTGCTTTGTTTTCTGTCTGACAGGGATGGTTCACATTGACTATCTTGAATTCTGGGCACAGTACACCAGGTGTGGTCTTAAAACTGCTGGAAGGATGCAGAAGATCACTTTTAGGGACCTGCTGGCTATTCTTTTCATAGAATCATTAAGGTTGGAAAAGACCTCCCAGATCATCTGGTCCAACCATCCCCCTACCACCAGTGTCACCCACTAAACCATGTCCCTAAGCACCACGTACAACCTTGAACACCCCCAGGGATGGTGATTTTGTTAGTCTCCAGGAATCAGTTGGTTGTCTTTGCTGCAGGGGTGCTCTGCTGCCTAATACTGCAACTGCCCACAAGGACACCCAGCTGCCTTCCTGTGGAGCTGCTTCCTAGGTAGCTGCCCCCAGCCTGTGCAGCTGCAGTGGGTTACTCCACCCCAGATGCGTTGCTGTGTACTTGCTCTTGTTGAACTTGAGGTTCCAGTCAGCACATTTCTTCAGTCAGAGGAGCAGTTCTTTCAAGCATATTGACCATTCCCCTGAGTTCAGTGTCACCCACAAGCTCGCTGAACGTGCACTCCTGTCATCCAGGTCATTGATAAGGACATCAATCAGTATGGGACCCTATACTGACCCCAGAAAGGTTCCATCAGTTACAGGTAGTCAGCTGAACTTTGCATCACTAATCACCACACCTTAAGCCATCCAGTTTTCCGCCCAATGCATCATGTGTTTATTCAGCCCATATCTCACCAATTTGGTGAGAGAGGGAAGATTATGGGAGATTGCATGAAAAGCCTTGCTAAAATCAATTTTTTACAAGATCTACTTTGCTCTCCTTTTCTGCAATGCCAGTCCTAGAAAGAAGTAAGCTGAGCAAGTTTTGACCTTGATAAACCCTGCTTCCCATTGTCTTGTCTTTCATGTGTTTAAAAATCAATGTTAAGAAGATTTGTTCCACAGCCTTCCCAGAGGCTGATGTGAAGTTGATTGTCCTATAGTTACCTGGGTCCTCCTTCTTGACCCTTTTGCCCTTGATGAAGGGTGTGCTATCTGCCTCTTCCCAGTCTTCCAGAGCCTACTTGGGTTGCCATGACCTCTCAAAGATGAGAATGGCCTTGCGATGATATGAGCAAGTTCATTCAAAGTGCTTGGGGGCATTCCAAGGACTAATGTGTTTCCAGTGCATTAAGGATCCCTAACTTTTTTTTCCTCTACTCTGAGTACTGCTTTACTTCCACAGATTGCTAGGTGGTTCACGGACATCTGAGGACAAGCCTTATCAGTGAAAATTAAAGCCAAAAAAGGTGCTGACTACTGGGACTGTTGATTGTCCTATTTTGAGAGAATACAAATGCAAATATAATTTCATAATTTTTAAATGTGCACTGCTGCACTTTCCTGAATTGTCAATCATTGTATTTGTTGCTGTCTGACACGTAATCAATATAAAGGCTGTTCTTTTTCCAATTAACAACGATCAGATTGCAAGGCTGGAGAAAGATAAAGAAGAACTCCATAATCAGCTGCTGAGTGTTGATCCCACGAGGGACAGTAAGCGTGTGGAGGTACTCTCCAGAGAAAAGGCACAATTGTATCAGAAATTAAAAGGCTTAGAGGCAGAAGTAGCAGAACTAAGAGCTGAAAGAGACAACTGTGGTGCACAAGCAGAAAGTGTTCAAAGAATACAAGTCCGACAGTTAGCTGAGATGCAGTCTCTGACAAGGTCTCTAGAGGTAAGATTATTATTGTTTTTTATTTTTTAATTTTGTCTCCTTGTAGAGAGGAGTGAGAATAACACTTAACCTAATAGAACTGTCACTGAGGTCACTGATAATTTTGCTATTGAATCCACAATTTGAATTTGTAAATTTCAGATTTAAAAATAAGGTGCAAGTACATTGCAGTCTTACTACCAATTTAGCTTCGGAAAGGTGGAGAGCTTACCTGAGAGATTTTAATTGATTTTCCGTCTAAACATTTTAGTAATACCATGTACGCAGCCAAAAAGGTGTTCAAGTCAGCACTTGTCATTTAGTTGGAGTTAGAAACTGGTGACAAGATGTTAATAATCTGCTACAGTAAATTTTCAACTTTTAAAAATTCCTTTTGTTTTTAATTTATCTACCTGTGTCTCTCTATTCTTCAACATATTACCATAATTATTTGGTTCTCAGCTTTTGCTTGCCCTTTGAAGAACCTTTGGTATTTCTGAACAGTTATATTTGATGGGATTCCTCTGCATTCCTCGTCTATGGTCTTCAGGTCTTGCTACCTGTCTAGGTAGTGAGTCTTTCTGTGTAGACTTCTTGGACAGCTGCAACATACAGATGCATGGTTCATTTTCCTTTTTACTTTATAAGTGCTATATGCACTTGTAACAAAATGCAGTGAATCTCTGTCAAGTACTCTGATTCCAACTTAAAAAGCGTCACGATATTCTTCATTTAGAAAACTTTAAAAGACCCTGCCAGAAATAGGAAATTTAGCTTGGAAAAAGTAAGGTGAAATCCTAGGTTATACTGCCTTTTTGATACTTTAGTAAATCTCATGGTCTTGAGCCTATAATACTTACACACTGGTGATACCGGTGTTTAGAGCCGAACAGGAATTTATGGGTAGGAATATGTGCTGCTTCCTAACTAAGCTCTGCCTTTTCAAGTAGGATTGACAGTGTGTGTGATTCTGTGCATGCAGTGTTAATAAAAGCTTTTGTTACTTCTGAGTAAAGTACAAAACCACGTGCTGTTGACCAGAAGTTAAATATTTTTAGGTATAATTATTATAAAAGGTCATTAATATCTTGAAGCCCAGATCAACGGAAACATGCAGGTGAGTAGCTAGAAACAGCCTTGCTCCAAAAATGTAACAAACACCTCCTTTATTCAAGGCAGAAAAGAAGTCAGCTGAACAACAGATTGATCGAGTTGAGAAAGAATTGCAGATGAGTCATGAACAAAACATTCTTTTAACTAGCAAACTTCACAAATCTGAAAGAGAAGTCAATTCCTTAACTGCTAAAGTAAGTGCTATTATGATATTCTAAATATACATTTTTCATATCATGTTTAAGTTTCTGTTCATATTTTACATTAAGAATAAAATGACAACATTTTTCTTCAGTGACTTAAAATAGGCTTGGAATTTTTTTTCCCCAATTTCACTTGGAAAATATAGAATGTGACTTCACAGGAAAAACTTGATCTCTAGGAACATCTCTAAAGATTGAGGTTACACTTTTTTAATTTTATATTCTAGGTCTTTTCTCTAAACATAACAGTGCTCAAAGAGGTGTCTTCAGGTTTTTAATACTCATGAAGATAGCCAGACTTCTTCGACTGCAAAAAAGAATTTCTAACCCATGAAAAGTTTTATTTATTTATTTATTTTTATATCCTGTGTAAAGTGCAACGGAGCTCTAAATAGATGCTATTTTCCTTTCTTTAAGTTGAGGTATGGCTTGTTGATTTAATTAATTAATTAATTAATTTTTAAGTATCCTTGGAGCAGGCTATGTTAGCTAGAGGCAGCAATCAGCATCAGAATCACTGCTGAGATCTAGGTTGTGCTAGAAGTGGGACAGTTGTGTAGCCCTCCCCTTGGGCTAATGTCAGCATAGCTTATACAGAAATGTTTCTGTACAGAGCTGCATTGTATCGTTTTAAGTAGATTATTGTTTTACAAAGTTTGAGTATCTTAGCTGTTGGATCAGCACCGTATCTAAGGGATTTTGTTTTGTTTCTATGCCTTTTCTCAACACCTTAGAGAAATTTTTAGAAAAATACTTAGGTGAAAAAAAAATCAAAAGACTTCTACTATAGGGAAAACCTGGAAGTGCTTAATAAGAAACTTGGCATCACTATTTAGTAATTCAGAATAATTAGATTGGTATTAGATGCCAGATTCAGAGTTTTATCTGGTTGCATCTACTCCTCAGCTACATAATGTACAAAAGACAGACCTTTATGTAATTTTGTATGTGGTTATTTGAATGAATAAGCAAAATTGAAGCACTAGTAAATTGTTTTACCTTCAAATGTTGCAGAATAGTTTTATTGCTTTATGTAAATCTGAGTCAGCACACTCATATTTCATTCCTAATGAAACAGGTACCTGGATAAATGTTAGCATTCTGTTATTTCTCATTCTGTCCTTTCTGCAGAAAATATTGGATGATCATTTTTAGCACATTTGTCAGTTCTTGCTAGCAAACTTAATGTCCTGTGTTTTCTCAGTCTACTAGAAAGGCTTTAGTTATTTCTGAACTAACTGTAAAGCCAGTAGTTTTGGTCTTGTATGTATAGTTGAATGCAGAACTATTTTAAGCTCTGTGTTGACTCAAAGCTATCCTATATTTCTAAATATTCTCTAAATTAACACTGACATGTGCATTGTATGGGTATGACAGACAACATTGGCATAATATTTCTCAAAAAAAAGATACCATATAGGAAAAAAAATCCTTCATTTTCTTCCATAGTTGTTCTTCAGCAACCTCGGATTTCATTTAAGACGTGTTTCAGAGTACACATTTATGAATGTGAAGTATTTCATTTTGATCCTTTGTCCTAAAAAGTTCAAATTTACCATAATAGGATCTGCTGGTATTTTAATGTCTTAAACTTGTCTAAATGAAAAATAAACTGGAGGAAGAAACTTCTTTGTTAAACATTTTAAAATCAGTAGCCTATCAGAATATCTAATCATCACCAGTCTTTTTGTATCAGCTGGTGTTCTCAGCTTTACAGCTCTGCGCACCTGCAGAAGTAGGAGAAAATTATGTTTCTTGAAGGGATGAAAGTAGGAAATAATTTCTATATACTAATGTCCCTGTCCCCCAAACACTTCTGTACCCACTCATACTCATTGCTGAACAATTGCATGCATTTGTGTTGTGAATCTGTGCCTTAAAAAAGCCACCTTAAATCTTTCCAAGTTGCCCTCAGATGTTCTCAACATCATATATAAGCAACCAAATCCACCATGTAGTTACTTAATAAGCTACTATGTCATTCTTAACCTTTTGCCACTTGCATGTGCTAGCAGGTTGTAATTATGTTTGTCACTGTGAATGGATTTTCAATATAAGTGCTTTCCTCTAGGTATTTAATTCTCATTGACCGTGTAATTACTGTGTATGAATGCCTAAACTATAAAAAAAAAAAAAGTTTTTGTGCAAGCAGTAATTGTCTTTGATTTGATATTCTTAAGACTGCTTTTATGAGGCTGTTTGATGTGCATGTCTTAGCTGCAGAGAAGTATTTGATTTAAAATGCACTTTAAATCTATGAAGACTTCGACTTTGAAAGTAATGTAGCACTCCAGGAGGTCAAGGGTGATTAAGGGATAAGTGGTTATCAAATTGAAATGACTTAGGGGAAGCAATGGATACCCTGGTTTTGCATATCCCTGCTTTGTTTTACTCCAGGGAGATTACATTTAACTTTATTTTAGTTTGACTCAGAGATTTTCAGTCGGAAGTGAGGTATGAGCAAACTGACATGCTAATGCCTGAGTTAGTGAGGCATCCGGGTCTTATGCAATATTGGTTCAGTGTCATAGCAAGAGAGTTCAAATGAGTAGTCTTCTCAAAAATATGCCAGTGATCACAGGCTAGCTTGGAGAATGTCTAGTATTTGCTCAGAAACTGAGTTTTTGTACGCAATCCTGCACGTTTCTGTGCAAATCTTTGTAGAGAGTATCTTCTAGACTTGTAATAACTTGTAATGAACTGGCTTGTAACAACTGGCTGGTTAAAGATGAAATACGTGCCCGTAGTCAGAAAGCTTGTTTCCCGGAATGGATAGTATATTTGGGCACTTTAATGTCTTCGTCAGGGAATATGCAAACCTTGTGTTTCAAGATAACTGATAATACATCCATTAGCCTGTAATAATACCAATCATCATTTGGGGAACCAGATCATGTCAATAGATGTAGTGCTGCAGTATCCATATAAGCACCATTTAAAAATTATCTGCAAGGCTGGATATTCTAGAATGGCTTTCAGAAAAGCAGTAGATGGAAAAATATTTACAAAGGTGTATTTAGAATAAGCGTAATTACCCTTATTTCACAGATTTTCTTGTTAGCAAAGTATCGCCTGACAAACTTTGAGCTGCAAATACATACGTATTTATTTTCAGTGGATTTTTTATTTTTCTAATTCTTAGGTAGAGGAACTTAAACATTCACACAAATTAGAAGTAACAAATGTCAAACTGGAGGCAGCAAGAACAAAAAGCGAAGCAGAAAGAGAGAGAAACAAGATTCAAAGTGAAATGGATGGTAAAATGTGCAATTAATTTCTAGTGGTTTCTTTTATAACTTTCAGTTAGAATACTTCAATTATTTTTCCTCTAAACATTCCCTGGCAATCTTTACCTTCTGCTTCTGGTCTAAGTGATAGATCAAAAAATGAATTTTGTTATCTGAACTGTGTCCTATCACTTGATCTATCACACAGGTTTTGAAGGACAGTTACAGAACAACTTGCATTTATGTAAATTAATGGATTTGTGATACAAATTGCACGTAATCTGTTTCAAATCATGTCCCTTCTAGGGCATTTTTTTTCTCTATTGTCTAATTCTACAGCCTTTTGCACTCTGCTTGAAACCTTAATGTATTATAGGCTTCAGTGTTTTGTTTTCTGCTTCTGAATCCATGGAATGGAAAAAAAATGGGTTAGGCTGTCATGTGAAACAAAATCTAATTTCTAGTTTGTTCTTTAAATAAAATAGGCAATGGTCTAAGCTACCTAATATATCTGAGCCTGTAGGCAATGTGTAATAGTCTTCTGTAGTGAGAAGAACAAAGCTTTCTAGTACCAGTTGCTGCTAATTTAAATCACTCTACAGCTTTTAAGTGGACTGTCCTCCCTGATTTACCATAATCTCAAAATGGTACCTTCTTCTTCCTGGAACAGTTATTTCTGTTGGTTTGTTTTACTGTTAAGTATCCCAAGAGCAACTAGGTGCTGATTTCTGTATCAACAATGCACTTATTGCAAACTAAAAATGTTGGACCCTATGAAATGTGAAGTACAGACAAGATTAGAGCCAACCTGAAGCTGCCTGTGGAATCTGACTTGTATCACCGAATTAGCTAAATAACCAGGAGTTATTGTTATAACTTGTCTACCTATTTGCCTGTGGAACACAGCTGCCTTTTACCATGTGCATCCATTGTTCCTTTGTGTGGAGTCACAATTGTAGAAGTGAAGAATTTGGTAATATGACTGGGTTAAAATGGGAGATTTGCTGTAGCTGGGTTATTAATTTCAAAGGTAACCTGCTACTGGTTTCTGTAAATGTAATGTCCTCTGTGAAAATAACACATCTTGCTTGACCTTTTCTTAGCTATTGTGGGACTCTTTTTTAGCCATACACAACTGTGTACTAGAAATAACTTTCAAATTTAAATCTATAATACCACCTATTACATTTGTATAAGGATTCCAGTGCAATGGTCACTCTTCAAAAGTTTTCTGAAATGTTGCTGTTACACGAATGGTCTTCTCTCTTTTATCTGTCATTTAATTTCCTTCATTCATTTACATTCAATTTTGTGAATTCTGATGTTTAGTTCCCTTTTTGCAATTTATAGTTATGCTATTAATGGATTTCATCAAGTTGATATCAATAATGACATTTTAACTTTTTTTTTTTTAATGTGTACTGTAGGATTGCTGTCAGACAATGAAATTCTTAAGGCAGCTGTTGAGCGTCATAAAGTGCTTTTAGTAGAAAAGGATCGAGAGCTAATTCGTAAAGTGCAAGCTGCTAAAGAGGAAGTTTTTGAAAAAATTGCAGCCTTACAAGATGAAAAGTATGTTTGTTGATTTATTGCTCAACTTCTAAAAGGGCTGGGAAGAATGTTTTGAGTAACTTATTTAAATGTCATTCCTAGTAATAAACTCTTGGCACTTTGTCATGTTCTTCGGTAAATATTGTTTAATATCTCAGGTTAGAACTTGAGAACAGATTAGCTGATCTAGAGAAGATGAAACTGGAACAAGATACTTGGAGACAAACTGAAAAGGATCAGTATGAAGAGAAGCTACGTGTTGTACAGCTGGCAGAAGAATCTAGCAAAAAGGAACTTCAGCGTCTGCGGTAGTGGTTTTTCTAACCTTAAAACAAATTTCTCATTTTTTTCCATAATTTCTTTACAGTAGTCAGTATAAAAGTTAACTATTTACAGGTGCATAATTGTTCATTATGGTAAATAAAACAAATGACCATGTGCAGTGTGTAAAAAGATGACAGTAGAAAAAATATGCTGTTTGTAAAGAGTTAACATTTTTCATCCAAACCTTAACAAAAATTACAATTTTAATGAACATTTTAAAGAAGTAAATTTGCATTACCTTTGTTAAAACTTGGTCCGTGTTGGCTGCTCAGAAAAACACAGTGTTAAAATGAACTGTCTTTCTTTCCACAATAGCACCATATCATCAACTGGCAAACTGGAATCCTAATATGATATCTTTCTGAGATGGTTATTAGAATTCTCATTGAAGTTGGTTTGCTACAGTATTTATATGAAGATCAGTATGAGGAAACGAATAAAAGTCATACTACAAAAAACAAACAAATAACCTATTTCTTAATCCTATATGAAGCCTAATAATCAATAAAAATAGATTTTTAATCACTTAATTTGAAAGGCTGCTAAATATTTATACCATATATTTTGTTGGCAGGCTGATTTTTACTGACTTCTAACATCAATATTTTAATTAGATTAAAATAATTGTATTTTATACAATTTTTAGATTAAAAATTCAACAGCAAGCTATGCAGGCAGAGGAGCTAGAAGAGAAGAAACGTGAAAGTGGCGATCTAAAACAGGTAAGAGTTTATTGCATTGTAATATTTTATAGAGAAATACAGTCTTTCCTGCAGTGATCATGTCCAGCATTTGAAGATCAAATTGAATTTTTAAGGCTTTTTTTCCCCCAAGGGACAAAATGTATTCAACAGATATATATATATATATATATCTTTTTTTTTTTTAATTATTTTTTTTTTAAAAAAAAAGGTGTACAGGAATCAGTCATGCTTTTGTGGACCTTCATAAATGGATTACAGCTTTTCGCTCCATGCAGTTTTTAGGTATCAAGGATTTCAAAGCTGAATGTTTATGGACTGGTATATTGAAAACGGTTATGCACTATTTAACTGGAGATTCAGTTTCCATGGAAACTTATAAATTGTTTCTAGGTAATGCTCTGCATTTATACTGCATCTCTCATCTGAGGTTCTTCAAGTGCTTAACAGATGTTTGATAAATGAATAAACTGGTGTAAAGTGGTATATTTCTATCACAAAGTGAATTGATGGCAGTGTTGGAAATAAAACCTAATTCTTTTAACTCCTGCTCACCCATACTGTTACCTAGTAGGTAACAATATGGGTGTGCATTGAAGTCATCTGGAACCTGCATGCACCTGAAGGTCAATGCAATATTTTCTTTTCCGCTCTAGAAACTGGGGTATCTGTGGGTGGGGAGAGGAAAAGAAAAGGGGAACAATCGGCCTTTCTGTGTGCTGACTGCAGAGATTGGACTTCTCAGACTCTGTAATGACTTGCTTTTGTGAACTGGTTGGTACAGCCATTGAGGGCTGTAACGCGGTTGGAGTCAGCATTGTGTGTTAGGAGAGAGAAGAGTCTGGGTAGCTCCAAAGCTAGGCTGATCAGTGTGGCGTGGTGCTCTAGTTCTCTAAGTGCTCTAAGGTGTAAAAGATTCTCTGAGTTCTAGGAAAAGACTGAGGATTCCTCTCTTCCTTTCTCTTTCTCATTTCAACCACAATTGAAGATTTCTTCCTTGTCTAATAGTAATTTATTGTAAAACTTCTGGAGAAGCCGTTAAGTAAGGAGAAAGGGAACAAATGAGATAGATTTATGTAAGTTAATGCAGCCAGTTGGTGTCTGCATTTTGTTCTCAGTATCTCAAAATTAATTGTTAGTTATTTGCATATCTTCTCAAATGGAAAAATTTCATTTTTATAGCAAATTCAAGACATGCAACTCCAAGTTGCTTCACTTTCTCAGTCAGAAAATGATTTGCTGGATTCTAATCAGAAGCTGAAGGAAACAATAGAAAGACTGAGACAAGAATGTCAAAACGCCAGGACTCAGGCAGAAAAAGCTCAACTGGAAACAGAGAAGTAAATTTTTTTTCTTCATTTTTGGTTTTACTTTTCATATTGCCTGTATTGCTTTCACATGGATTACTTAGAACGGATTGTGGATTCCGAATAAAGTCTGAAATTAAATGTGAACAGGAAATACTAGACAACTGCATATTTTTTTAAAGCCATAGCTTCTGTTATCTGTTATGCAGTATGTATACAAGCTTTGCTTGTGATAACTTCAAAAATAGGAGTTTGTTTCTATTCATGTCTGTTACAATTTACTATTGACTAATGAAATACACAATTTAATAGAAATAGGATCACATTTTATAAGGAGTGAATGTCAAACTTACTACGTAAGAGTAGATCCAGAATTTTGTATGCAGTGTTTTAAGAGTGTTAAGAGTGTTTAAGCATGAAGAGTGAAAAAAAAAAGTGGTTGTGTGTTACATTATGCTTTGATAAGATTTCAGGGACCCAGTCTATATGTGTGTATATACGTTTTTTCCCTTTCACCACATACTTTTAGCTGATATGAGGCAAAAAAATAGCCTCTTGGGTGTCTACTAGTTGCTCCCATCAAAATGAAAAATAATCACTTTAGTACACATGTGTGACCACATACAATCAAAACATGCTAAAAATTGCTAAAGGAAACCAAATCTTGTCCAGAGGCAGTCCAGTAATGAATGTTTTCCTGGAATTTAAAGATTAATTTGTCAGTGGGTATGAAAGAGCTGTTCAGTATTTCCTAGCCTAGTAACCAAATAGATGTGTAACTTGTAATGGATTATTGTGCTGTGGGTGTTAAAGAGAGTCAGTGTTCCAGATCAAATAGAAAACTTCTAAGAGGTGCCACGTGGTATACATATATATATATGTATGTATGTATATACTAAATCCTTCTTTGCTATGGGTTGCTAATGCAATTGCACTATTGTCGCTGATTCAAGTATTGCTTTTCAGTTTCACATTTGAAGAGATTATTGCATTAGCACCACAGAGTGCTGTGTTTTAATGCCATCAATGCAGGTGTCAGTAGCATGTTAAATACTTTGGATGTTTACTTCAGGAAAGAGTATCCATATTTTGAGTGAGATCATCACTCATTTACACATTTATGGGATGTAGATCTTTTATCAGTCAGGAGTCAGTTTTCCTGGGAAGGCAGTGACAGGAGCTTGGCAGTCCTCCGAGGTGATTTTATAAATCTGTAGGTAATGTGAGATGCACCAAGTCCAATACTGCAGAAATTAAGAAGCTTTGCAGCCTACATGCAAGTCCTCCCAGTCTGCCCTCCTCTTACCCTGGGAGCCTTGGTACATTTCCATTTCTCTTCTGACTCTGTGGGTGATGCAACTTCCTTCCTTGGTTCAATAATTCTTTCGAGCTTGAACTCCAAGGGTAAAGTTGCATCAAAACAACTTAGCTTAAAGAGGAAGTGAAGTAAGGACCAAAAGATAAGAAGGCCTGAGATACATAGTTTCGGATAAGTTAAAATAATGCTAGTTGGGCCATGAGTAGGTAAAGCAGTTGGCTGGGTCTGGCTTAGGCTTGGAAATGAAAACGTGAAATGAGAAAAAGCCAAAGGCGAACTACTGAGACTGATAAAGATGAGCGATGAACTCAAGCAGGCACTTGTTTAGTGTTTCAGGAACAATATTAGTGGCATTTCTTTAAACAAACAAAAACTCAGGGCCTTTTTAACCACTGTCTCAGCTGAAATTCTTTTAACGTTAAGCAGTGCTTTTTGGGAAAACTCTTGGGTTCCTGGGTAGTAATAATTACTTATAGTCAATAGGAAGATACAATCCCCACTGGATCTGCTAAAAGAACTATTATGGATATCAATAGGGCCAGGATCCTGGTTCTGGTTTGAGAGTGGATGACTCATAATAATTCCACTGTGGGGAAGGTAAAGGGTGTTTGGTGAGAAATGTATGGAGATTCATTCAGACTCCCTGCAGGGAACCTGCATCAGCCCAAGACCAGAGTGGTATGGATGCACTGATACCAATCCCTGGGCTGCATTTCTTAAAAACTGCTGCACAGAATCTCACCGTTTGATTTTTATATAACAGCACAGTCAAATAGACAGTTGTTTCTCTGCTTTGACCCACAGTGCAGATAACCACAACAAACAAGACGAGAAGCTAGCTCCTTTCCTTTGCACTGCTAGAGAGCACAGCCTCATTTTAACATCTTTTAACCATGCAAAAATCTAAACAAATTACAGATTTGGGTGTCAGTGTGGGTTCAGCTGGATGTTGTCTAGGAACCGTATCTGTGGGAGCTTCCTGTTATATTGGTGTTCTGGTTGGGAGCACACAACAGTCAAGTCTGTACTTCTCTGTTACAGAGGAGTAGAGCACAGAGGGCAGCAAGCTACTCCCTTAACATCTCACCTCCCAAACACAGAAGGCAGTTGTCAGCCCTTCTGACAACTGACACTTGGCATAATTGTCTAACGTTGTGCTCCAGTGTGAGTATTTGATTTGAATTTAGAAATGTTCTCTGGACAGTTGGGCAACATGCCAACCAACAAGCAGCCTACAATTACTGGAATTAGTTTTCAGAATTTGCCTTGTGGTTGAACAAAACCTAGGATTACGTTAAGGCACAGGTTGAAATTTGGTGAATCTTGGACACAAATTTAAATGATAAGCTTCAGTATATAAACGTACGAGTTGTGAAAAGAAGCATTTATTTTAAGAGCCTTAAGGCCATAATCTAAAACACTGCTTTGTCTATATAACATTTTACTCTTTTTACCTGATTTTTCTAAGGACTTTAGAATACAGACGTATTGAATGGCTGGAGGAGAAGCACATGCTTACTCAGCGCATCACAGAGAAAGAGGAGAAATACAATGAAGCGAAGAACAAGCTATGTCGGGCTGCTGTTGCTCAGAAAAAGGCATGTTGGCTCTTCCTTTATGAATGATCATGTTTATGAAAAGATCAGTGTTGCTTTGGCCAGCTAGAATTGTTTTAATATTACAAGTCTATTTGCAATCTACTGTGTATAATTATAAAGTACATCAGGTTCTTCAGGATTAGCAAAGAAACATGTCGAAGTGATATGCAAAGGAATATTATGGCTGGCAACTTTGTTTTAGTGCCATCAAAGACTTTGTAAGGTTTTCCTGTGTGTATTTAAATGTTATTTTTGTGTGTTATTTTAAGTCCTTGATTAGTAAGGATGTTGTTTCAGGTATCAGATAGATGCTGTTCTCCTTTTCCTTGCTTATGTGTGACCCATCTGTTCTGTGTTGCGGTGTGGTACTCTTCATATTCTAAGCTTGCTTTTTATGTAATAGCTTGAAAGGAAAAAAATGATTGTTTATAAAAACTCAAGATTAGTTGGCAATTTTATACGTTGTTCGTATACTGATTGTGAAACCTACAGAAAGTTTCTAAGCTCGTTAGAAGTTGAGGTCAATATGAGCAAAAAAAAGTCACAGAATAAAGTGTACAGGTTTTTGTCATGTTTATACATGGCCATGTAAGGAATGATTCTTGTAATTACACAGCCAGTGAGTGTTAATACAGGCAGTCATCGACCAACGAGTGACTTACTGTGCCTTTTTCAGTCATAGCTCTGGGTTATTTCCCGTCTCTTTTGTTTTCTATCCTGGGGATTCAGAACCTCCTAAGAGCATAGCAGTAAGAAAGGGAAATTCCTAAAAACTGTCACAACATTAAACCATGTGCAGTCTGGGTTTAATTCTTACAGAAGCTCATATACCAAGGCGTTACTTAGCTTTGTTTGAAATGTCTGCTTGGCAGAGAAAGACGCTCAATGATAATAAACAAAGGAGAATGCAAGAGAAACTACAACTTCTGGAAGCCAAGATAGAAGAACTGGAAAAAGAAAATCATGTGTTAAATAGGTAATAAACATTCATTTTTCTTACCTTGAAAAATTATGTATGGCTCAAATCTGACTTAGAAATATGAAGTACTTATGCCACTTAGTTTACTAACTGGAGCCAGTCTAATGGCATTTTCAGTACTAGAGTTCTTTGGATGGAATCTGTCTGTGATAGTTGTGTTTGTGGACAGCTAAGAGTTTATAAGACAACTGTAGGGCTGGCTCAGGTAGAAATGGAGGGAAAATATCTGAAGAGTATAGATGCTGTTGCAGGAATCCCTTCAAAAGAAGGATTTATGTTTAAAAAAGAAAAAAAGGAAAAGGTGTGAGCGAAGCAGTGTTGGGGTTGAAAGCACAGTATGTGAAAATAAAAGGAAGACCGGAAAGAAAAAAAGACTTCAGAATGGCAAGGGAAACAAACTTAACATTCTCTTTGAAAGAAAAGCTCCTTTTCTTTTTTTGCTCATTGAGCAAGCATGGAGGGCATGATTCAAATAATTAATGCAATGTGGCTCACTCCTGTGAATGCTATTAAAAGCTTAATTTATTCCATGTAAATTCTAGTCTGTAATGCAGCGGGTAGGTTGGCGTGTGCAGGGACTCTGAGGTGTTTAGGCTGAAGAATATACACAGATCTTCCACCTTCAGGATCTTCTGGTACATAGCTTGCCTTCACAGAGACAGTGAACAGCAGAGTGCTCACGGAGAGGTGTGCTTCTGTGTTGTGATAATTAAGGTTGCGAGCAATAAGACATCTCTTATTCTGCAGGCAGAATGTGTCCTATGAAGAATATGTGCGCCTCCAGAAGAGACTGAAGGAATTACAACGTAGACACAATGAGTTCCGGAGCTTAATTTTGAATCCTAACATACCATCACTCGGTCCAGCTGGTGTAATGTCATCATCTGCCCTGCCTCCTGGGCCTGAAGTGTCCTTCCCCCTCCTTCAGGTGGTGATGTATTACCATGTATACGTGAGAAAATAGTATGACAAAAGAGGGGTATTAGAACAGTCCTTCACTGAAGACCTTAGTCTTAAGGAAGGAAGGAGCTTTAGCTATTTGAAAAGAGGAAAACTCTTCGGAATGCATCTTTTGGTGTTCCCTTCCTCTGAATAGGAAGGAGTTCTTCAAAGACAAAGGATACATTACAGAATGCCACAAACAGGCAATTTTAACCCTGCTCTCTGTAGTTTCTCCTTCTCCTGAGAGGCTTTAAGTGGCGCCTTTTGGACAAGAAATCCCATTCTATTTGTATCAAACCATCCTTTCATAATTAAGCACTGATATTGCTGCTCTTGATTTCTTGTGTGCTTAAAAGCATTTTATTTACCCCGGTGAGCTTCTGAGGGTGGAAAAATCTCTCTAATTGAGGCTGGCCAGGCCGACTTTACTGATTCTTGGTAAGTGACGTAAGGCCTCAGCTTAGTGTGCATCTTCATACGAGAGAAGGAATGCCTGCGCTCATTTCTCGTTGTGGTTATTTGTCTTGAATGTCAGAATGATATCCACTAAAATTTGGGATGGTGGTGGAATCTAATGAGTAAAAACATTCTGCTCTTCACAGTTTTTATTTTAAAACCATTAATAGTGATAATAATAATAAAGAAATTATTGCTCATTTTGGTCGCCTGTAGGTGTGCAAAATGTAATATAGCAACTTTTATTGGTTTTAAGGAGGAACAGCATCAAAGAGAGCTTTCCCTGCTTCGCAAGCGTCTAGAAGAACTAGAAACCACACAGAGAAAACAGCTGCAAGAGCTTGGACCATCTAGAGAGCGAGTAGCAGTGGGAGCATACAGGGACTTAGCCAGAAACAAGACAGCCGAGGAAGGTGGTGCACAAAGTGAGGACTCCAAATAAAGCCTGTGAATTCTACGTAGTGTTAGTTTTCAGTAGCTTATCATTTGTACATGCTTTTGGTATTCTGCCAAACCATGATTGTATGTGCCTGAATTGCGTAAAAAATACTCTGCATAGTTTTGTATTTATTTTTGACAGACTGTTTAAATTATCAAGAATGTTGTTTTCTAAACAAAATCATTGTAAGAGTAATGGCATTTTTAAAATATCTTTATAAATGGTGTAAAAATATTTGGAAGTCAAAAAACAAAATAATCTTGTTGCACAAAATTTTAAAAAATATTTTAGCAAGCGTTGTGTGGTGCTGAAATTTTTACATTTAAAAAACAAATTGAGATTCAATTTTCTGGAAAAATCCTAAAATAATGTAGTTGATAATATCCTCTTCCTCCTTTGATGCAGAAGTTATTGTATTGGTGTGGAATTTTGCTGGGTTGATATTTGGATTGTAAACCAGTTGCTCTAATCTACATTTGGAATGTTATTTTGAAGTTCCCAAGCACATAGACAGGATGAAATGAATTGAAAAAGCGATGAAAACTTTTTTTTGCTAGTCTTGTCAATGTGCCTCTTGTATTTTTATAATGGGCAGAAGCAATAATTTTTTTTTTTTTGAAATAATGTAGTAGAGTTGAAGTATAACAAATTGCCTTCACATTATGAAAATAAGTTTGTATTTGTTGTTGGTACTGTAATTTGTTTACTCCACTACAATAAAATCTATTTATTCAAGGTTTATTTGCTTTATTTTTTTCCCTTCGTTACCACTTTAGTAACAGAAACCTGTAAAGGACCAATTAGTCTTTATGATTTGATAGTGAAAACTTTTGTGGGTGTAAAAATTGTATCTGCTGTTTTTATGAAGATTTGCAATGAAAATGTATTAGTGACATACGCAGTATGTTTTTAATATTGTTGTTAAATTGTAGTACTAGACACCTGAGGAACGAAATTGCATTTAGTGACATTGTCGTTGATATTGACTGAGCTTTGCTCTCCTGATGCAGCGTTTTTATTTTCCATGCCGTGTGTCAATGTAAGCGTGGTATTGCATTTTCCTGGGGAATTTGTTAAACTGTTCTGAGAAAAGCGCTGTATTAGCCTGTGACCACTAGAAGCCATGGAAGGTGTGCTTCTGTCTCCTGGAGGATTAACCTGGAAAAGGTAACGGTCTGTGCCTGAGCTAACTGCCAAATGCTGTGCTCACCAGTGCTGATCATTATGTGGCGCACCGTGCATAGTGGTTGCCAAGAGCTAGCGCTCAACAGTCTCGTTTCTGCCCGTGACACTGGGTATGTGTTGTTCTGCAGGGCTTCTACACACTGTCAGGGCACGGGGAAGGGGATGGATACAAACTAGGGAAGCCTTGGAGGGTAGAAGGCGGCTAGGAACAGGAGGAAGAATGATGATTAGCCACAGGTTTTGTGGGCTCCCTTTCCCAGTTGGTCTCAGGTTCTGTTCCTAAGAGTTAATTCCTCTCCTGAAATAACAGGTACCAGGTTATCCTCATTTTTAGTTTTTTAACTTAAAAAAAAACCACCATTATCATCCTCAGAGCCTTGAAGCAAATGAAGCCATGCACTGCATCTTCAGCCTGCTGATGCTTCCCCGGGGCTGGGAGGCTGCAGGGAATCCCCCTCCACGTGCCTCCCACCCCAAGCCCCCCGCAGGGAGGCTGCTGCTCTGTTTCAGGCCAGTGACTCCCCACCCACAGCATCACCTGATGCTGCATCAGGCCTTTCTCTTCCTACCGCCCAACTTCAGGGGCACTGTGGTGGCCGTAAAACACGGGGCTGTGCCTCGGAGCCCCTGAGGGGCTGGAATCAGTGGTGCCTCCCAGGTGACGCCAGCCCGTGTCTTGTACAACCACAGCGTAGCTGCAAGCTCTTTGTTCTCTTAACCATATTTAAATACACAAACTAATCAAAGTAACCTTCAAAGGCATTTTATTCTAGATAAACCCATACAAACACCAACATGTATTTGTCATTTGCACTTTTTTTTTTAAACCATTCATTTTAAACAACAGGTTAACTTCTGTACAACAGGAATTACTTTACACATTAGTAGCATTTGACTTCAAACTAAATGACTGCAAAATAATGCTCTGTAAGCTAGTGTTAGAAAATATGCTGTTTGCAATAGCAGTTTGCCTGTAAACATGTGAAAATAAGTTAAAGAAGTTTGCTTTCATTTCAGAGAATGCGATTAGAATTGTTGGGTTGCCATTAGGTAGCTTTAGTCACAGGTTGGTTGTTTTGTCTGTGTAACAAAGTAACAGCAAATTGCGAATGTGGAAGGTGTGCCAATGTTTTGTGTGCTGACCCAAACCTACCAAAAGAGCTACAATCACTTAATTATACTTCACATCACTTTGTGAGATCCACCTTACGGGTTACAAAGTCCCAGCATGACTTCAAATGGGTTACGAACAGAGTGAAGCTGTTTAGGAGGCTTGAATAAAAGGCAATAATCCTATTCCAGGCTGTAGGCTAAGGCTACAGGGCCTGCTTTAACACATAATCTCTAGAAATCATCAACGCTATTGTAGCAAACAAGCAGTAGTACAAATACAGAATAGGACTGATTTTTGTTTTCTCATCATAAAAACACATAGAGTGAGGTTCACAGGTTCAGACCCACGCAAACAGATTATATTTTACAGCTTTTCAAGCAGAAATTTGGGTTGTTTTTCTGCCTGTACAGAAGATTACTGTTGAACAAAACGACCACATTTCCTTCAAATGCACTTCCAGCAAACACTTGAATTGGAACTGAACTTCTGAGACATCTGTCTAACCAGAAAGAGTAAATTGCTTATGCCTGTCCTTCTGCGTTAATTACTGTGCTTTTTTTGTTTGTTTGATGCTGCTTTAAAAGTTTAGGTTAAGAATGTTAAAAATCAAAGCCCTTAAGTACAGGTAATCTAAGCTTAAGTGCTGCTCAAGCCATGGTCTGCTCCTTTAGGACAGAGAGCAAGATAGGTTAGGGTTGTTTGTTTGTTTGTTTTTTCCCCATTAAAACTAAATTTATATCATACTACATGTATATTGTGCCAGGTAGAGAACTGCTGAAAGTACTGCAACACTGTAGTGCAGCTTCCTGAACAAAGCCATACATTCCATCAAGTATAAAGTGTAAACTTAATAGCAAGTAAAAGACTTGAATTTTAAAAAGCCATCACAGTATGGACTGGTGGCTCCCCTCTCTGATATGTAAGAGGTACAAGTTGTGCAATCACATGGTAGGGAGGGGGCAGACCAGTAGGCAACGTGTTGCTTTGTTTTGTTTCGTTTCCCGTGTTAGCAGGCGGCCTCGCTGCTGCCAAACCCTGGTTAGCATTCCCTGGCGCCGGCCTTGGGCCTGGTACCAGCGTCTGGCAGCGCGTGCAACAAACCCAGCCGGCCCCCGTGTTGTGCTGCAGCCTCCGGGCTCCTCCAAGGCCACGGCTCACAGAAATAAATGGGGGCCGTGCTCAGGCATCGCTGTCTCGGCCCAGCCCCAGCACACGCTGCCTGCCCTAAGCGTGAGCCACCTGCACCTCTGAGGGGTGCCCCTGGCGCTGCCCAGGTGCGGCCCTCTGGGAACACGAGGCGAGAGCTCACCGCCTCCTATGGTGGTGGCTGGTGTGCGCGAGATGCCTCTTGCCAGAGCCCTGGCTCAAGTCTAAGGGTGTCTGCAGCCTTAGTGCGTGCCACCACGGCAGTCGCAGCAGAGCCTGTGGTGACCAAACGTGGGTTTGTGGTGGGGGGGGGCCGTGCTGGCGCAGCAGCAGAGCCAGCGCTGCCGCTGTTCCTCTGTAGCTTGGCACCGCGGCCACTGCACCAGCAGCAGCATGGCTGCACTCCTGCATTTCAGCTGGGCTGACTTCAGCCACAAATGCAATCCTCCCCTTCCCCCCAGGCTCTGAAAATAGCCAAGCCTCAGAAAACAGCCCCGGCAGGACTAAGGCGGGCTGTTCCCCTCCTGCCCCCAGACCCTGGCTATACCATGTGCACATCGACCAGGGGTTACCAGAGGCCTCCTGCTCTTACACGTTGTTAACCTAACCTTCTTTTGACAAAGCTTTTGTTTGGACAATCTGGAAAATCAAACTAAACTAAACTGAACTGCTGGCATTCGGCTTGCGAGCCCCTTGCACGTGGGCAGCAGGACGGGCGCGTGGGGCTGTGCCTCATGCACCCGAATACGGGTCTGTGCCGCCGTCCTCACGGCCTGGTCTGACGCTGTGCAGCCGCACGGGGGTTTCACCTGTGAAGCTGCTCAGGAGTTTCACAGCTTTTGTAAGGGTAGAAAGGTAACTGCAAACAGGGGCTGGTGCCAGTCTGGCTCCTTTCTCCAAAAGCCTCGCCCCTGCTCAGTGGTTGGCTCCATCTTGCGATTTTTAAGCTCAGAGAAAGAAGTCCCGCCACGTGCCATTTGCACTTCAGACCTCAGGCTCACTTCTTCTGCTAAGCGAGCTTGTCCTAAGTGTCACCTGGGTGCTGTTTTTTATTCAAACAGGAGCCAGCCTACATTTGTCTGGAAGGAAGGAAACTGCAGCTGACCTGTATTCTGACATCGGAGCTCATCCTCACAGCCAGGGCTGCTGAAAGGATGTGGCAAAACATCAGCTTTCTGTCTTAAAAACAGAGCTAAGCAACTTAACACGGGCGACTCTGACCTTGCAGTGTGCATTTGCACCCCCTACAAACTTGTTAAGTAAGCAGAATGCTTACTGAGGCAGTATCTTTGAACAAAAAGGTACACGCTCAGGTACCTGACAGTGCCGGCCCCGCGGTGCCAGCCTCACTTTTGCTTTCTCACACTCACACTGGAGTACCTACCCCTGCACACACGTCATTCCCAAACTTGGATTGTACTTGGAATGGTCCGAGTGGAGAAGAGTGTCCAAATGTTTCAAACCCTGTACATAAAGTCAGTCAAAGCTGTTCTGGGAGCAGTAGCGCTTATTTAAAATTCCCCACAGCGAGGCTGTGAGTCAGTGCTCTGCTCAAATCCATTTGCATTTTTTCTTCTCATCAAATAAGGCTTTTACTTGCTGGAGCTGTTTCTGGACTTCTTCAAACCCCCGTTCTCGCTCGAGTTTGCTGACAATCTGTTAACAATTAGCAAAAAAAGAGAATAATTTTCTTAGTGCTTATTTGATTTGCAGTTCTTTAAAGCCCGCTTTTCTGCATTCCAGTGACTACTGGCAGAAAAATCCATCTGAATGCCCGCCTGTATGTAAACATTCTCTTCTGACTTTAACACTTTATTTTGGTAGTTTCCCTTTCAAGTCATTATGATTACAGGATTTGCAACACTTCCACAGAGGGAAGAATGACAGAGCCAAGCTGAAACCAAAACAAGCCCCACACATGTTCAGCTATTAAAGTGTGAGGCAAGGCCACTGCTCCAGTTTCACCCCGGAGCAGCTTTGCAATTGATCTCTTACTTCTCTTCATCTGCCCTCCAACCCAGGGCAATGAACCGCTTCTCCTCCTCCAGCCGACCCACTTGGCAGTGGACCAGGTGATGGGAAGGAGCACGACTGGTGTCTGAGAACTCTTTGCTGGCAGCTCTACAAAGGGACTGAGGTCTCGGCAAAAAGCGAGTGAGGTTTAGCTGCTCCTCATCAAATACCAGAGCAGGGAAGAACAGGGGGAGGGAGGGAGGCAGGGATGTCTTTCTAAGGATGGGACAAGCGTAGCTGGTGCTACCTTCAAAAAAGCAAAAAGGGGCATTAGGATTAGAAT